CCCAGCCAGACGGCGATCGACATTGTGAAGACACTCTCATTCGACAAGGCGAAGGAGGTGTATGTCTCCAGCGCCTACGGCTTCGTCCTCCCTCCGCCTGGCACCCCCTCACCCATACCCGCAATCATCAACGACATGCAGCCTTTCCCAGTGGCCGAGGAGCTGCACATCCGCAGCGCATTTGGCGGGGCTCTAGGCCGTCTGCTGGGGCAGAAGATGCCCAAGATGCCCATGGGGTGCAAGTTGTGTGGTTTGGTGCAGCTGTCAGTGCAGAGGATAGAATTGCCGTGTTGGAGGCGCTGGGGGAGGAGAGGGAGGTGGACAGTGTCGCTGTGGGTGATAAGGAGGAGCCGGTCAGTCTCACGCAGGGCGGCGCCTTTGATGGATGGCGGTCGCAGGGCTTACCGTCGCTTCGCAGCGTAGACATGTACCTATTAGGTATGCGAAGCAGGCAGTGAGTGCAGCAAAGGGGGCGCTCGGTCCGTCTCGTGTGTTCATCCGCCCTGTCTGTGTGTGTCTTTATTCAGTGCCCCATGACTTGGAGGATGCTGTTGCTGCCGAGCTCATCCGTGACGGCCTCTCGACTATCCTCACCGCTGGGCTGCGCGGCCTGAGGCGTGTGGAGCTGTGGCTGGAAGGGGAAGCGGATGACTCCATCCTCACGGCGATTCGACAGCTGCTCCCAAACGGCACGGAGATCGACGACTTCACCATCAACACAGTGGGAACTCTGGTGGAGGCATCTCGTCGCTATTAATCGGTGAGAACGACACGGGGGGCGGCCGAGGACTCACTCTGTGTGCACACCGCACACGTGTGTGTATGTGTGTGTGGCCAGGCTGTCTGTCTGTTTGTCCACACACAAGACAAGACAGGACAAGACAAGACAAGACATGACAGCACCGTAGTCATAGCTGCCGCATGGCCGGCCATCTGATTAGGTCCACGTGCAGACACTCTCTTCATGGATGGATGGATGAGTGGCCCGCCCAGCTGCGGTGTGTGCGCACGTGGGCACTGTACACTTGATCCTCGCGCTCCATTGGCAGCCCAGCGCCTCGGTTGATGCCTGGTCATTCATGCTGCCTCGGCCATTGCACCAGGCAGGCCGAGAAGGTGTCGCCTGCATGTGAGCGTGTGTGGATGGATGGTTGTTACCAGTGAGGCATGATAGCCCATGGATGGATGGATGGATGGCTGGGTTCATATTGTGTGCGGGACTCGTCTGATTGTGTGAATATCTTCAATTCTGTTGCCACACACATGGTAGGTTAGTGGGTCGAGTCATTGGCTGCCGGCATACATGCACGGAATTAAGTCGATAAACGAACATGTCGGCACGTCATCGCCTCCGCATTTCTCGGCCCGCCATGATTACCTACACAATCCATTCACCCTCACACACGTGCAGAAGCTGCCGGCAAATCTAGACTCGCCACGGGCTGGCGTGACACGTGGGACAAATAGAGATCGTATACACATAGACACACAGCGAAAAACGAAAAAGACAGCTGTCACGTCGAGGGCGAGGTCATCATCAAGGAGGCGACGGCACTCAGCCAATGCCACCCTGCAGACGGCTGAGCACACAGAGAGAGGGAGAGGAGAGAGGGACGCATAACTCATCCGTTTCTGTCTCTGTTGCTCCTTCTCTTCCTCACCTGCAGTGTGTAGATC